CTTTGCGGCCATTCGCGACGACAATGCGTTCAGAGGCTTCGGCAATCACGCTCGGACGGGCCGGGATGGATCTAAGGAGTGTAATATAGGGACCTCAATAATTAGAATACATGGGGTCTTGGGGCCCATGATACTGTAATTGTAATCAGGAACCCCCAAAACAGTAGATAATTACTTAGGTCCCTTTTTGTCCCTATATTGCCCGAGATACATGTTGGTTTCCAGCTGCCGACAGTACAGGCACAAGTTGCTGTTGCAGCTCCGAAGCTTGCCTGCTCTCGTCGCCGTATCGCTTATATGGCTATGAGTTCCAGACGATCTCTATTCAGCTAGGTCTATGGGTCGTTCAGGCTTCGGGGATTTGGGCGTTGATAAGCTATACAGCTCAAGCAAGGACCCATGCTTTGAGCAAGAATGCCACAGAGAGCCAGATTCAGGCCTTGAGTTTCTCGACCAGGCCCTCTTGCACGAGAACAGCAGAGTATAGTGGTTTCCGAACGCAGGGGACCCGAATGAAGTACCCTAAATAGTAGGATCCTTATTACAAGGACCCCACTCCCATGTAGCTTTCCCCAAAAAGTCTTGGAGGTGGCAGAAACTTGGGTTCAAGAATTGAGCAGGCCTTCCCAGAACCTCCCCTCCGAAGACTTAGCAAAAAGGGGCCAACCTCCATGGCCTGGGATTCCTCAAGGATGGGCAAGCCTCGCGCTTGCACAAGGGGGGCAAGGCTTCACAGGGTCGAAACTATGTACAGGACACTACGCCGGACAAGCAGGCCTAGCAATTGGGGCTTTGGGTTTCGTGGAGCGACGAGGCTTTGATCCACTGTGAAGGTTGCGCGGCTTTGGGGAACGTCAGGCTCGCGTGGTACTTGCCCAGCTGGCGTCCAGTCTGCGGTGTCCTGGAGGACACGATCCCGACCTCGCGCATGTGTTGCCCTCGGGTCTTGCCTGACCTCTCCAAGGCCAAGTAACATGCTGATGGAGAGTCTCACCTAAAGTCCTAAAGGTCGACACCGGAGAGGCAAGTCCGGAAACCCGACGCAAACACCACAGAGGACCCATTAACCACTTGCACAAAAGCAGTCCCCATCTTGCCTGCTCCAGGCATCACGGTCTGGGCGGGTGGGAAAAGAGGTCGTACCTCAGAGATTGAGCCCAAGACTCCTGAGACACTCACAACTCGCAATTCGTAATGGACAGACGTCGCGGCGAAAGCCCGAAGTTTGCCGGAACACGGGAGTCACATCAGGGCCACGGCACGGAAAGTACTAGATTGTCCTTGAAGGTTGCAGGTTTGAGTTCCGGGCTAGCATCCTGAGAGGCTCCTGCATAAGAAGGTACCCGTAACGCAGCATGACAGAGCAGTATTATGACGGATGACGTAATGTGATTACGATGGCATCACACTACAACATTACACATCGAGCGTCTTTGCAAAACAAAATCTCACAAAGACCCGGAAATCGTGCGACACAACTAGCAGAGGGACTATGCAACAAGGCCGACGATGCGCAAATTTGCAGCTACGCATGCAGCGTCAGCAAACGAATCTATGCGTACAAAGCCGAAGCAGAAGTCCCGCACACTGAGGTTCGTGCACAGCCCCCAAGAGCGCGTGCGAAGTCAGCCTCCCATCACATGACACCGAGCAGTGCATATGCCACTGCAGTCTGAGCTGGGCATCTGTTGAAGTCCCCGTAAGCCAAAGGCTGGTGCAAAAGAAGCACAATGCTGGATGCTCCAATGGAGCGGTGATAGACCAAGCACCCCGAGACCGAGGGGTTCGCTGGTGTTCTCCCCTCCTCGCTTTATGTCTGGTGGCGGTATGGGGAAGCACAATGACGAAAGCTGTAAAGCTCCAAAATCACCTCTGCGCAACTCAGGGCGAACTTGGAATATCCAAGGTCGCAAAAGTGCATAGAAAGTTTATATGCTCAAACAGTTGTGTCAGATAGAGCGCATGTGAGGATCCTGCATCCGGTGGCGCCCCGAAGCCACACGCCATCAACACCACCAATGCCATACGAGAAGAAAGCGCAGCTCTAAAGAAGAGAATCTCAAAATGGACTCCTGTGCTAGAGATTGGACCCAAACATACTCAAACCCTAAACCCTAAATCAACCCAAACACCAGGGATCCTTTTTTCCTCCATAGGCTCCTTTGACGCTGGGCCGTCGTCTAGAAGGCTGGAGCACCTGGCACACCAGACCTGAGACGTCTCTGGCACAGTTACTTAAAGGATCATGGGACTTAGTAACTACCTGTAGCCGGAAAGACCTACCCTTTTAGGGCTCCTTACTATGGTTTCTATATATAGTTCCTTAAAAAGGTAGGTCTTTTCGGCTACAGGTAGGGTTATTATTGGGGTAACTGTACTTATAACTACTTATAACCCCAATGAAGGGACTTATAACTGTAGTCCTGCAAGTATGACTGGTTCAATGGAATACACCCACGGATTTTCCTCCCAAGCAATCTGTAGCACCCTTTTCTTCCAACAGGCCTCGTACTTCAATTCATGGCACCCCTTCTTGCTTACTGGGCTGAATGTCTAGCCAGTCTCCAAAACGGTAAGCCTGCTATATGGTGGGAGCCAGGTTCCTGTTACACAGAAAAGGATGCACGACTTACCGATGCAACGGGAGCTTAGGAGTGGCTCATGTGATGTCAGACAAGTTTCAAGGAAAACTGACCGGGCTTAGTGGAACTTAGACAGAAGGTCAGGAAGCTCTCTCGGTCTCCCTCCATCATCATTTGAAGCATTGCCGCAGACCGTGGTCGCAAAACATTGAGCGGAAAAGCAACCACAGGGAATTAGCTTCCATGCTGTGATGTAGACATCCAAGCCAAGGCTCGCTCAGCCGAACTACCTTGCCTTGCTCATTGCACAAGAGCATGACCTTGGATTCCAGAAGAACCGCCTAACCTAAAACGTTGACGTTCCAAGCATCGCACAACTCTCCCACTCTTACAGGTCAGCGACACCCTTCTATGAGGGCTCCTAGACGGCTCCTGGTGACCTGGTGTAAATAAAAGCGGCTACGGGGAATGCAACCTCGGGCCTGGGGTTTATATACAGCAAGCCCCAAAAAGTTGGAAACCAGATTAAGGACAATTAGCGCTGGGATTCCTAATACATTACTCTTAAGGAGTGAGGCTATGGAGTTTCCAACTTTTGGGCTTCTACTGTAGGTTTATGGAAACGTCCACAGCTTGGTCACCGGAATCCGATAACCACGAGTGCAAAAAAGGTGCACCTCCGTGCCCTATCGTCATTTTGGATCTTGGCCCAGCCTTGAGGTTTAGGGCTGTAAAGTTCGTGGCCTTGGGATTCCAATCATCTCCGGATTTAGGGGCAGTACTTCTGGAAGTCCTGACATATTCGCAGATTGACCGCAAAAGACAAGCCGCAGCTGAGGCTAGGCTTAGACCTAAAGTTTTGAGCCCTTAGAAATTGCGTCTTACACCGTGCTGGGCTTCCGGCATTGCAGCTGTTGGGCAGGCCGATGACAATCTGTGGCACATGGCCGGGGAGTTGGAAGGGAAAAGGAACGGGCACGGTACTCATCTGCACAGTGGACAGGCCCAGAGACTCAGTGCCTGAAGACGAGGATTAACGTCGCATACAAGTGTGGCAAATACACATCTCTCTTTCCTGCGGGACTGAAATCCCGGCGGCCATTCCCTGGATGGACCGTCTGTTCACCAACCACGTACCCTGCGTGCCTGCTGTGGATCCTCCTCCGCCTCTTCCGAGGGGAGGTGCACGTCTTGCTTGCCCCTGAATGCCCAATTTTCAGCGTTGGGGCTGGGATGGGGGCCAAGCCTTTGCAAAAAGACAGGGAAGCCGAAGTTTGATTGACAAATCATGTATAGCTGTTTGCGCAGCTTGCGGTGCTCCCAGGATGCGATGGGTTGGGAGGCTCCATGCCTTCTGAGCCTGAGGGGTTGAGACCGACCGGCCTGTCTACGGAGGGGTTAGGAATCAAAAGCTACCCTCGCGGTGTCCATAGCCTGACGACTTCCCACCTTGTGCCCCTAGGACCCAGGATTTTCGGGGATTCCTTTCTATTCCTTCTTTGAATGCAAGGCCCGAAGCCTGTTTGCTACTGGGCTTAAGTCTAGTAGCCATGCCCGAAGCCCGAAGCCAAACCCTCACCTATATGGGAGTTTCCACAAATTAGGGTACCTTATTTTGGGGTCCTTGTCATAAGGATCCTACGCTTTAGGGTACTATGTTGGGGTCCCCTATTTTCGAAACTCAAAGATATCAAGCGTCCACACCCCATGTTGCCATCACAATCCACCGGCCACGCTAAACTCGAAACAATGTGTTGACAGTCGGGGCGGAGGTTCTTCGGGATAGTCTTGCACATGTCTGCAGGAACCTGTTCCACAGTAGCAGGATCAGAATCCAAGCGCAAAGCAAGGAAACGATGGAAGCAGTGTAAGTGAAAGTGCAGATGGGCTGCTCGCCGACCACCTTGGCCAACAAAGGCAGTATCCTCGGTTTCTTGCAAAAGCTCATCAGAAGGGCGAGCCCACCGAAGTGTGAGCAAAATACATTGAGGCCCTCCGTTAAAGCCAGGTGAGGGGGTCGTTCGGATCGACACGGGTTTGGAGTGAGCATTTGGCTCTATCAGCTTGTCCACATGCCTCCTCCCGAGCTCTACGGACAAATGTCGATGCGAAAGCAAGAGGCCTGCGAGGTGCCGGGGCAGAGACCCTGAGGTGGCAAAAGTGTATTACTCTGATGTGTGTTTGCAACTAGGTATGGGAAGACGAAACCCCAATCAATCCTACTGACTGCTGCCCCAACACCTCAACACACCATCGATGCCCTGCTCCGATCGCATCGCTGAGGGGCACAGCGAGAGAAGCCTCAACAATAAGGCGCTTGATTTCGAGGGCTAGGGAATGCTGGGGATAGATCTTGGCTCATCATCTTGGTTTTGGACTGTTTCCTCTTGATTTCACGAAGGAGCCGTCCAAGTTCTTCACACGTGCTCT